TAAGGGCTATTTCTTGGATCCTTGATCGTGTCATTCAAGGCCTTGGTTAGTTGTTTATGGAGGGCACGTAAATGCTTAATCCAGAAGTTGTGCAGCTGGTCTGGGCCAGGAGACTTCCAGTTGTGGGTCTGCTTGATGGCCTGCTGTACCTCACACATTGTAATGTCAGTCCATACATCCATTGCTACATTCTGAAATGCTTCATCCTCTTGTTTGATCCAAATGGCTTTGGTATTGTGGTCTGTGCCAACTTCCCGTATTACACGCCAGAATTGATCGAGTCGCTCTTGAGATGGAGGTTCCTTGATGGTGCTTTGCTGCTCGTTGAGATGCCGGTAGAATTTTTTGGCATCTTTATGGAAGAGCATATTCTGATAGTAGTGCTCACTCCGCTTAGTAAACCTTCTCAACCTCTGAGCTTTGGCCTGTAGTTTCATCTTTATTTTTTGTTCGATCTTGCATATAGTCTTATTCTCTATTCGGCTCTTGCACAAGATGCTCTTGGCCGTGGCATGTACTTGCTTTGTTGTGAGACCTTTTATTATTTTGCTAAGGATGGAGAAATCCTTGCGATGGTTTTCTATTTTTTTCTGATTCTCTTCTTCCATGTTGGTTCCTCTGTGGGCTTCGTGACTTTCTCTTTTGTCTATCCAGCAATAATAGCAGCAGTCGCGTACATTAATTCATTGATTTCTGATAAGTTTAGATGGTTATCTTTGATGATACTGGTGAGGACCTGATTTGCAGCTTGAATATCGTGCCGTATTGCCTTATTGAGATGAACATTTTTCAGGCTTCTGCGTTGATCCAGGGGGATTGCCTGAGTTTCAAGCAGCTTAGTAGAGATTCGATCTTCCATATCCACTACTGATTCACCTTCATGGGTATCCGTATTATGCGGTGTTTGTTCAGCCTCGGGCTCTGGGGGTTGTAGGTCTGCAGGTTGTTCAGTGGGGATAAGTGTTGGTTGCGATGCATTATTTTGCTTTCGAACAGCTGCCACTGTCTGCTCAAATTCAGTGTCGGTGAGCTTCTTGTTCTTAATAATCCACTTCCTGGTATTAGCAAGAGTATTTGAGTTGGTGGCTGAAAAGTTGTTTGGATTCCTGCCTCGCCAGATCGTGTATGTACCTTTTACGACCCCGCCATCAATGTTGTTCTCTTGGGCGAAATAATAGGACCACATCACATCCTTGTATTGATCCTTTGTCCACTGGCTTCTTGTTTTTCTGTTGGTTATTTCTGCGTTGGTGGACTGTGCCTGCGGTGTTGGTGCTGCTTTAGTTAAGCCAACTTGAGATTGGACCTTGGTCTGGTTGCTATCTGAAGCTTGGCTGTTAAGGTTTACCGACTCAATAACCGATTTTTCGACCTCAGCTTGTTCGGCGATCACTGAGGGACGCGCTCCTTGTTGACCCGCGCGACGAGCGATGCGGTATGACTTTCGTATTGGGTTATTCATCATGGTATGATATTTACTATTTAACCCAAAGTTAGGACAAACTTTCCTGGACATCAGGGCACGTCCATACGTCTGTGGACCGTAATGTCACAGTTATTGGGAGTTTGCTACTCCAGATCGAGAGCGGTATTTTTATCGAGACACCATCTCTAGGGGGTTGCCATTCAAGGCTAAAGAGTCCCTCCTACCCATGAGACAGACTTGCCCCCGTCGGACACCAACCCGATACTTCAAGGTCTCGGGGAGAGCTAACAGGTGCTTCTCCTTGCTCAAGG